CGAAATTCCAAAACAAACAAACAAACTTTAACATTTAACACATTACAATCTCTACGTGTCAAATTTTTATTGGTTTTTACATTAAGATAATTTAGTTTTAGGATTTAATAATTTCTTGCATATTCTATGAATTTATTTTTTCAAACAAATATACTGTGACTGACTCCAAATTTTGCATACCTATTTTAGCACATCACATATTTAAATTATTTTGTTCAGCTGATGCAAAAATATACCAATAGTTTGCTTTCAAACAAATAATTAAAAAAAATACTGAAGTGCCCAATAAAATCTTTTTACAAAACACACAGAAACATCTGTAAACAAATTATTTATTTAGAAACTCTATACAAATATTCTTCCATATATATTGATGTTTGCATTTAATGAATAACCATCATAATTAAAATTGTGCCAGTAGAATCATACTTACGTGTTTACAACAATACTTGAAGATATTAAGTCATTAAAATCATAACTCCAGTCTAGCATTTTTTAGAGTACAGTTATATGCAAGTAAATTACATAAATACTCTAATATGAACTAGTTATATTTAGCTACAATCTTGTATTACTAAAAAAAACTTCTTTCTGACTTGTAAGTTAATTGATTGGCTTCAAGATCACAATGTTTACTGGATTTATTTACACTTGCACTGCGTGTATTGTTTAAATCACCTATAAACATGACTTACCATCTTCGTGACATTCCTGAATGGCCTTCTTTTGAATTCTAGTTAATCGCGGATCTAGCCACTGAGATGTGCCATGGTTATGACTGTAAAACAAATGATTGTGACCATAAACAGAAAATAAACCCACAGAAAAATAAATAAAATAACAAAATACAGAGTGGTCAGAACATAACTGTATATGGACAATGAAGCAGGTGACAGTTCAGACAAGCTAAAACATACACTTAGACAAATCTTGTACACTGAAAACTGTTCTAATCAAATCAAAATGTTGATGTTGATGAAGGTTCGTAAAGTTTGATGCATATATATACTTTTATTAAGACATAAAAAGTGAGGCACTCTCTCCCATAAGAAACTTAATATATAATATATTAATTACTTAAAGTACAAAATACTTTCTTTACTTTAGTTTTGTCAAAATAATACAAAATATTATCAAGTAGTAAAGTTTCTGCATTTCAAACTAAACATGTGCTATCATACACTAACTATCACACCATCAGAAATTTGTAACAAAAATATTTTAGTTTTCATCAAAATATCCTTTAGCTAAGAGTGCTAAACATTAAGCAAACAACTCATCTGAAACACTTTCTAATTGTTGAGCAAAATACTCTGTCTGTTTTGTCATTTGAATAAAACAACTTACTCAATGAAATAGACTTCTCCAAATTCTGTATAGGCTATCTCCCAATTTTCAGGTAGAGAACCAAGATTAGTTAAAGAATCTGACTGCTCCATGTCTTGTAAATTCTTGTAACAATTTCTCAAAGACTGGGGTGTGGAAGGCCTATTAAAACAAGATTATTGACAGATTGAGCTATACTGAGCTATATTTTCACTATTTTCTCTCCCCCCCCCCCCCAAAAAAAAAATTCAAAAAATACTTTATCATTTACTTCAAAAGCTAATTTAAATAAAATGAAATAGCATATTTTTATTAACTGTTCCACACTTTTGGGCCCAATCCAAATATTTAATCTCTTCTGAAAGTAGAATATAAACTTTAAAGTAAAAAAAATAAATATATATATATATATATATGTATATATACTCTTTAAATTATGTTTTAAAAGAAACAGAACCCAATATTATATTTTAAAAAATTATGTACATTACTAACCTTCTTCAATAATATTATTATGACAATTTCCTAAACTTCTCAATTTATCTACAAATAGTTTTAAGATATAACTATTATTAATATCTTTTCATTAAACAGAATGAGGCAAAAGTTAGTTACCACCTAAATATAAGTTATTAATTATAATTTCATTTCTTACTTGATTATGTTCAACTGCAGTAGATCATTTAAAATTTGGTTATTTAACTTTTTGTGCTAGGTAGGAAAAGTACAAAAAAAGAAGAAAACTATAGTAACATTAATACACTATATAATAATGTAAACTGAAGCAACTAACTTTTGCCTTACTCCATATGTCATATCTGTAATGGAGTATGATAAAGAACAGAAGAGCTATGCAACAAAGTGAAAGAAAAGGATGCAAAAAATATCATTCTTATAACAGTTCCAAAAGAAAAACAACCAAACCTGGCACTATTGTGATTAGACAACAGATCAAATTCTGTGGGGTCTGTATTTTTAGCTGCTGTTGTTTCTGCATTCAAAGAATGTTGTTGTTCCTTGCCTTCAGAAAATGGTTGAGTATCAGGAAGAACAACACTATCAACATTTCCAATGGAACTGGTTTGCTGTAGCATAGACATGGAACTCTCTCTCATGGAGTTGGTAGTGTCATAATGATTGTCTGACAAAAAAAAGCATTGTTTTTTAATTATAAAAACATGAAGGACACTCTTTTACCTTTTAACCTTCATATTTTTTCTTCTTTCTGCTACTTTTTACTCTTTTAGTTTGCCTAATACTTTTACTTTGAGGTAAACTAGATTGTTTTCTAATACTGGAAAAAAACTGAATAACAAGCTTTCTAATTCACTATTAGCTTAAATTTTATCCTTCAATTCCTACATAAAATAGCTTTGTTTTTTTTTTTGACTGAATATTTTTTGCATTTTCTCTAAGAAACTTTGTCATTATTAAAATTTGATCTGTTTAAGACATGCACTGCATATCACTTGTAAAATGACCAAAGTTTAATGTTGAGAATTCCTTCTTGCCTAGTGATAAACAATGAGTATTATTTCAGATTTATAATACCTACGTTTGATAAACATGAAATTAATTGCAACTTATGTCACATTTTCACAACTAGCTAATGAGTTAAAACACAGCACATTGAAGTTGAGATGCTCAAATTTTTCAGAGTAGAATTTTTAACACACTCATAAAGAGATGATTACCTTGTAAATAGAGCTGATGAAATGAATAAGGGCAACAACAAAACCTAGTCAGATTGTTCTGTCAAAAAAGTCAAGTCTGAACCTGAATCTTTTTGAATAGTGTTACCTCTGTTTCTGATCATTTTTCTTAGGCTGAAAGTACCAGTCATGAAACAACACTATTAAAATGTGATTTATGTTAGTAAGTTTAATGAGATATTATTTTAAAAATCAGAGAAAGCAATAAGACTTGCTTAAATAAAAATGTTTTAATCAGCATTTCATTCTAGATGCTTATATATGATGTTTGTTTGTAGTTAAGCACAAAGCTACACAATGGGCTATCTCTGCTCTGCTCACTATAAGTATCAAAATCTGGTTTCTGTTGGTATAAGTCCGCTGACATACTTTGCCACTGGGGGCAATTTAAATGATAAAAGTCAGTTTTAAAAACCATAAACTACACAAGTGATTTCTAAAGTTCAATATGAAACACCATGCAGTAATCTCACTAATAGTATTTGAATAAAATATCTGACAAAATATTTAACACTGTCTAACACAAAGGATGAAGAACACCAATAAGTTATTTTTTTAAATCTAACATAAACCAAATCAACTTTTTGTAAAAAATAAAAAACACACATTGTAATGGATGGAGGTTGTCTTTGATGGCATTCTGGAAATGATGGTTTTCAGATCCTTTCTGAAAATGAGTATTCAGGTACTGACGAAGATCCTTAGTTAAGTAACCTGTAAAGGAAAAAAAACATTGTTTTAATATTAACAGAACATATATCTCACATGAATTATGCAAGATAGAGCATCCTACAGACATTTCATCTCTTCATCAAAATAAGCTTTTAAGTATCATTTTCTCTTTTTCTGTTTTACTTCATGTTTGTGGAACTTGGCTAAATTAGTTTTAACATTGCTATTATGAAAAAAAGGACTTGATCTATTTTCTTTGTTTTTCTTCTTTATGCTAAGCTTGACCAATGAATCATACAAGAGAAAACAAATGACTACTTATTTAGATACTGAATTATAAATTTTCATAAATTAAAACTTAAGATAAGTCTGATTTAATTATTAATAAAAATATAAATACAATAAAATAAACTTACTATCAACAAGTCAATCAAGATTGATATGAAGTAAAATACACAAAACTTGAACTATAAAAATGAATAAAATTGCAAAATACAGTTTATTAAGGTTTTCTACATCCATGAGATATAATTTATTTTACACAGAACCAAGGTAATGTATTTTACAGAGGTATCTTATAGATCATATGCCCATATCAATGCATTTTACAGAAGGATCATCTAGCATGTGACCAAACTAATTCTTCACAGAGCAGGTCTTGTAAACGATGTGAATAAACTATTGAATTTTACAGGCAAAATATTGTGGATCATGTGACCAAACTAATGCAATTTTCAAACAGAATCTTATAGGTTATGTGACAAAACTAATGTATTTTTCAAGCAGGATCTTGTACACCATGTGCCCAAACTAATGCATTTTTCAAGCAGGATCTTGTACACCATGTGCCCAAACTAATGCATTTTTCAAGCAAGATCTTGTAGACCTTGTGCCCAAACTAATGCATTTTTCAGGCAGGATCTTGTAGATCAAGTGACCAAACTAATGCATTTTTCATACAGGATCTTGTAGATCAAGTGACCAAACTAATGCATTTTTCATACAGGATCTTGTAGATCAAGTGACCAAACTAATGCATTTTTCAGACATAACCTTGTAGATCATGTGACCAAACTAATGCATTTTTCAGACAGGATCTTGTAGATCAAGTGACCAAACTAATGCATTTTTCAGACATAACCTTGTAGATCATGTGACCAAACTAATGCATTTTTCAGGCAGGATTTGTAGATCATGTGACCAAACTAAAGCATGTTTAAGCAGGATCTTGTACACCATGTAACCAAACTAATGCATTTTTCAATCAGGATCTTGTAGATCATGTGACTACAGGTGCACAGGCAACAATTTCAAACTGTTATTATGTCAAAAGTAACATTGTGAGGAAACTTGAAGTGGCATACAAAGAGGAAAGAGAAGAATCTTTTATTGATAATATCTAAGACATAAGTTTTGTTACTTTGATACTAATATTAAAACAAATCAAAAAACAGATATATATATTTGAAAATGAAAGTTATTTGTATAAAGAGGTTCACAAGTTTGTCACTTCTCTTTGAAGCTAATTAATGATATGTTTTTATTTGCATCAAATATGATTGCCAAGATTTCCTTGGTAACCTTTCATTAAATCATTATTCTCTAAAGAACTAATAAATAACAAAAGAGACATAGTTTGAAAGAATAGGAAAAACTTCAGAATTTTGAGGTTTTTCATGTTTCTTGAAACATTGTCTTTTATCAGATAATTTGAAATCCTTAAAAGCACAATAAATCTCTGTCAATTTGATAGTCTTTAAACAATTTCTACACCTTCTATAAAACAAACAGTTTTTCTATTAGAAAACGAAAATGTAATAAAATTCTTTATTCCAAATAATAATAGACCTATATGTTAGCATAAAGAATGAGAAACAGCAATTGATATTATCAAAACCAGAATGTAAGAACAACAACCTATAGGAACTTGGACAATGTCTACCAGATATGCCCTTGGTATCAGATTAAATTTCGAGTAGGTTAAACTTGTTAAAAGTTAGTAAATTTCCGTATATTGTTGTCATAGCAATTAAACGTCTTGAACATCTGTGACAGTTGCATTACAATTATATCATCTTCTTCTTGCCATCCTGATGAGAAAATAATGTTTATTTCACATATATTTAATACAATGGGAGTATGGACATATGTAGTAATTCGTAATAAATATCTGATTTTATCAAACTTATGGCACGACGAACTTACAACAGTTTCAAGAATTATGACACACAAAGTTGGGTAACTATAGCCTTACATTCACAAAAATCTATCTTACACGTGAAAATAAGATAAATTAACCAAAGTATTATCATAATATTAAACTAGTAATAGTTAAAGTAAGTACAGATGTACCTCAAAATGTCTGAAGAAAAGCATAAAAAAATAAAACCACTACATCTAACAATTACTGCTTAAAATAATTAGCCAATAAATACAATGAGAACGAGAGAGAATCACAGTGTTTGGACTCTCATCACCAACACAAACCTCCATTTTTTCGTAGATGACGATTGATAAGCAAGCCACTACACAATGGCATTGGTTAGAGATGTAAAATCTCGTTCAGAAGAGAAATATTATTTTTATTTTTATTCTTAGTTTTTTTCGGACGCGTTTTGAGCTTTATGTAAAAAAACTCTCAACAGTACATTTGTCCAGTGATTTCTGAGTATTTTCCTCCATCCACGAAAACGTCCGGTATAAATTATAAAGTTATCGTTCGGTTTCAATCACACAGAAAATTTGGTAAGGGAAGACAAATAAAAAATGAGCACTGATTCACACCTCAAGTTTTCAAAAGGAAATTAGCACACTGTTATTTTGCTAATGTACAAAATATAATAGCAAAATTATCAAGATGTGATTCAACGAATTATAAAGTTACCATCGATAGTTTGATATTGCAATATTATTATATTAAACTGTAACAAAACACAAGTATTTATATCAAGGAAGGTTCCAAAATTTTTTGAATAATCTCTACACAGTTATACCATTCCTTTCTACATAACAAAGACGGCACTACGGTATTTCACCACACTCCGTTAGATGTACAGCTAGCGTGAGAAGAGCGCTGTTCCAGATTGTTGAAGGCTAAGACAGATAACCAAGTCTACTCACAATATCCCAGACATTACGCACCAACTGATGCCGTCTTACCAGCTGCTACAAAGACGGCAAACCGTGTGAGGATTTCCTGTGTAAGCAGTCAAGCGAACAAGCTCATCAGTGGGGATCGTCGCCTATACTTTCCTCCTGCTCACCAGTATAAACAGAGCTTCTCCAGCCTTCACTTTACAACTTATTGTTGAATTCTGGCCAAGTTAAGCCACTATATAAACGTGTTCGCTTCTGTATATATGTTTGTCTTTCTGTAGGAGCAATGTTTCACAATTCTTGTTTATGGTCTCGGGGTCATCTGCCAAGTGTCACGCCTGAGAATTTCTTATAATGCTTAACAGTAAACTTTGAATTCCCATTCAAGTAACTGTGACAACTGCCTTTACATCAACAAAATTATTTTGTGGCTGACTATATTCTCATAGCAATAATAATATTTATGTAATGTTTTATAGTACTTATATAAAATTTACAAGAAGATTCTGTTCCTGAAAAAAAGACCCTGTAATGTGAATACATACCTATTCTTATTCTGTGAAGAACATAGTATCGTTGCGAGTGAGCATCGTTGTCATTTATGAATTTACATACTCTGATATTCAACCCTGATTATTCCTATATTTCTAACTGTTGATAATATACATTTATTAATATATTTTCTTACTAGCTGGACGGAAGTTATGTAAATTCATGATTAATGAAAGGTTATCGTAGGACATGGAAAATTGCTTCCCTTATATGTAATCGTAAAAAACGCAAAAACACCCCCAAAAAACCAGCAAAACACAAAACGTGAAACCGCAAATTTGCAAATGTCTCCCCATGGACCCAACAAACCTTCATGCCAAATTTGATGAAGATCCATCAACAGGTGGCGAAGTAGTGGTAAAAACGACCATAAAAACCGCAAGAAGCAAAATTCAAAACTGAAAATTTGTATGTATCTCCCCATAGACATAATGAACCTCCATACCAATTTTGGTGAAGATCCATCCACACTCTCGGAAGTAGTTACATGTACATACAACAAACAGTACTGTTATATTTATCTAGATTCTCACCCAGTTCTCCGTTGTTTGTTATTTCGTTGCTCTGTAAACAATATTTCATCTTATTTGTATTTTGTATTTATGACAAAGCTATTAAGGCTATCTGCCGCCGTTCCTAATTTTGAACTACTGACCAGTGGTGTAAGTATGGCCCCTCACTTACGGCGAGGGGTCAAAAGGGGATCCGAAGGGCCTGACAAACTTAAGAATTGCCGACAAGGGGAATAAATGTAGGGGGGGGCATGTTTTGTAGTTATGCCACTGCTACTGACCAAAGGGATGACAACCAGTCAGCAACATCCTACCACCTATCATCCACGCTAAAGAATTGACTGTCACTCTCATAACACCTCCACACCTTAATGAGGGGAATATTTTGTGGTATAGAGTGGATTTGAATTTGTCTCGCAAGCTCCAAAACTCAGAGCTATACCACAAGGCCAACCCGCGCCCTTATCACTTTAGTAGTCAATTATGTGAAACATTGTAGATTCGGCTCCCTTATATCCAGCAATAACTGACACATATACACCTGAGTATAGTGGCGTAGAACACCCAAACATGTAGAGTCTTTATAGAGCTGGTACCTAGTTTTAATAAATTTTATTGTGCAATTATTTAACGCTGTACGCTTTTTAATTGTATATACGTGTTTGCACAAGTACTGATTTAATTTATTTAACAACCGACACAACGATTTAAAATAATGATATGAAGTAACAACGCCTAAAAGGCAAGGGTTTTACTATGACGCTTATGTATCAGGTACGATCTTGAAATAATACTAAAGACTTGTGAGTTTTAGTTAACCTGAAGCTAAAACTGCATTCATTTCTGAGTTCATAGTGATCTATGCCCATGCCTTACAAATAACACTCTAAAGTACATATCAGTAGTATACGTACCACCGTAACACTCACAGCTACAGGTCCGTGAATAAAGTTGTTGTTTCTTGTTTTGTTTTTTACCTTACTTCCGGGCTTCCTTCCCTCATCACACGGCCTGCACAGGTGTATGTAAACGTGATTTATTGAGAAGGATGTATACATATTACTTAAGTTAAACCCAGCCACAATGCTGATTGATCAAAAGTTAAATATCAATAAAAACGGGTCCTAATTTATCTTTTGCTATTGGCCCTTGACAACTGGTACGTAAGTAACACCATCACCTTTACGTTTCTCGAAATGTGACGTAGTTTAATTGTAAAACTCATGGACTAGATTATGGACAGATTAAGTTGGATTCATTCGGTAACCAGGGTACCATTTATCCTTTCTTGCTCATCATGGCTAGCATTTTATAGTATTTTTGTAATCATATATTATAACGTTTCATTGGCTGATTCTTAAACATATAACGTATTTACTGTAGTATCTATACCTTCGATCACAGTTACTACAATCATGATACAATGCACAGTCAAAACATTCCTATTACTCTTACTTGACACTTTATTAACAAGCCAATCACGCTAGGTATGATGTATATCGTGTTGATAAAGATTTTCTAACTCTTCCTAAATATGAGTATTTTATTATATAGAAAATGCTTTATTTTTTATGGAAATCAGAGTATTTATGTCATCACTAGGCAACATAGTAACTAGATATAAAACATTATCGGCCTTGTTTGAGAGCAAAATAGCCTCGTATGTTGGATTTTTTTACGAATATCAATGATTTTACTAAAGAAGTATTTTATTTATCGCATCAGAGTAAGTTTATGAGCAAGGAATAAAAACACATTTGAAAAAATTAAGTATGAAGTAGGGATGGCAAAGCCAAAAAGTACAGAAACAAGGTAGGGAAGAATACACAAAATCATACAAAAATCCCTACATAAGTAGCCATATCTTTCCAAGAAAAACTTTTATCTACATCTAAATGTTGAATTTTTTTCATTTGCATGAATTCAGGTTTGAATAAAAGCATTTAAACTGAATAATGCTATAAAATCTTACAGTGGCTAATTTCCATAAGCTTGTAACATTGGCTTAGTGGCTACTTATGTAGGGATTTTGGATTCATCCATACCTTGTTTCCATACTTTTTAGCATTGCCATCCCTACATCGTCCTTATTTTTTAAAAAAAAATTATTGCTTGTTTCCCCTCTTTTTTTAAACAACACCAGTGAATATTTTGTAATGAATGGTGCTCGCTATGAAGGCAGCAGTATTAGCCTGGTGTGATGAGTTGTCTTGATGGACATCATGTGTTGAAGTTAGTGAAACGCTATACTGCTTCTGAACTCCCCAAGTTAAAATACATCATTTTTTGGTGTATAAATAATCACAACAACTTCAAACATTGGTGAGCTAGCCCTTCTTACGCCAGAATTAGAATAATCAGTAGAACATTTGACTGTTACGCTACTCCGCCGGTTCCCTACTTTAGCGATATTGTTTGGCTAAACTGAAGGTTTTAATAGCTTTGAAAACCTCGAAAATTTAAGTTAGGTGTTTATAAAAGTATCTTAGATTGTTATAAAAAAAGGTTTGAGACTACGATGAGCAATACATAATATGCGGGGGCCATTGTTTTCCCGGCCCATCCCTACATATTAAGTATTACCGTCCTTAGTGATTAAGGTGGTGTTCTTGTGAATCTTTTGACCCAAAAGTAACCCATTTTCTGTATGAACTATAAATAGATTTAATCTTCCTACTTAGTAACTGTTCAAATGTTTGTTCTCCAACGAATAAATAACGTTTATCCTAAATATCTACATGCGATATTCTTCGAATTAAGGTATTTATTTAGAGATAACTATTCTTTTAAATGCTCCAGTTCTTTTGAAAACTATCTTGTTTTGTGAACCCCCAGAATGTTTCCGGTGTACTGACCCTGTTTAAACTTTCCTTTACAAACCATCATGCATTTAGCTACTGACAAACATATCTGGCCTAACTGGATTTTGTATAATTTTAATCGTGTACATGAAAACACATTGTGTTACGCTTTTTGTTTTTAAATCGTATATTCTATAAATAATTTTAAATTAAACGTGTAAAGCTTAGTGCGTTTGTTTGTCTGAACGCTATAAGCTAGTACAGTATAAACTGTGGTACAAATAGATAAATAGATAAAGTCCTTACAATAGCACTAACTAAATATGCTCCAACCAAACCAGTTCCACAACCACAAACCAAGCTTCACAAGCAAACAAATAATCAAGAAAGAACAGCGTTATTAGGAAAGTTTTAAGAATATTAGATCCAGTGTTATATTTCATAACATAATATAAACAAATCATCACGTATCGGCTTTTGACTATAGGTTATTCTATGGAAGAAACTTTGGTGCGGATTTCAAAGTAAGAAACCATGTTGGTCTCGTGTTTAATTTATGAAAATTGACCATAAAAATATTTAAGATTTCCTAGCTAACGCACATAAGTAACTGACAGTTTTAAGATGTATCAAAGTTTAAAGGAAGATGAGCAGGGCTGAAGATAATTATTGTTCATTTCAAGCATTATGGGAAATGTCTTGAAATGCTCTCTTGCACTATCACGTTTTCTTTTGCGGTCGATAGGTTTGTTTGTTTGTTTGTTTGTTTTCAATTATGCACAAAGCTACACAAGGGCTATCTGTGCTCTGCCCACCACGGGTATCGAAACCCAGTTTCTAGCGTTGTAAGTCCGCAGACATACCGCTGTGCCACTGGGGGGCGCGGTCGATAGCAGTTACATAGGTAAGTGTCAAAGGCTGGAGGATAGGGACGTAGCAAAATTTCTTTAATTCTTTAATTACTTCAGCAGATTTTCGACTGTGGCTTTCACAAACAGTTAATACAACGACTAAAGCAAGACGCACTCCTACAAGCTTTGGATATATTGATCATAAGACAAACAAATATGAATATTAAAATATTTATTGCTCTTATAAACCTGTCTTATGTAAACATATGTTAAGTAAAACATAAGTGAATTTTTTCTATGTTTAAACATGTAATCATAACTTATTTATTTAATAAAACCAATGACGATGTTACACATCGTAAAAAGTAATGTGTTGCGCCATCTATTGGCGATAATTCAGTTCGTTCTTGTTTATCGGGTTTGACGTGCTATTTTACAGCAT